TGTGCCTAGCATGTACAAGGCCCTAAGTTCTATCCCCAGTACAAAAAACCCCCAATATAATATATACAAAGAGCCCACTATGTTAAAAAAAATAGTTTTCTCAAGAGTTATTTGTAGTATCTATAGCTGGGTGTGTCGACCCAAATCTGCCCTTCAGGCTGAGGCAGGAGGATTTCATGGCCAGCCTACACTACATAGTGAGACTCTGTCTCAAAAAAACCCCCAACCAACCAACCAACCAACCAAACACAAACAATTCTTTGTAGTATCATCTTGGATAAGAGCTGCTGTCCTCAATGAAGGTATTTTAGTGATCAAGGAGTAAAGTAAGATGGTACTTTAAGGAGAGACAGGTTTTCCTTCACCCCCCTGCCCCAGCACAATCCTCACTTAGCTGTCAGCCTTTTCATCCAGTCAGGAGAAACTATGGAAAATGAGAATTTGAGAGCACAGACAATATCAAACTTGAAGGAGAAGGCATTTTAAAAATCCACATGCTTTGGAAGAGTAACTCACTGATAGGAGTGTATTGCAACTCAACTGTAAAATCCTGTGGTTACAAAACATTTTACCTTTTTGACTAGAGTTAGAAAGGTTATTACTGGCCTTGTGAATTGAAGAAATGCTACTAAAAAAAGTTTGAAAGCATAGCAACTAGAAGCACGTACAGAGAGAAGTTAAATAACTGCCCGGTGGCAGATCTCAAATTCCAATCTAGATTTGTCCAAAGCCAGTGCTGTTTTACTTTGCTACTGAGGATTGAACCCAGAGCCTTCACACTGAGCTGCATCCCCAGCCCCTCTATTTCTGAGACAGGATCTCACTAAGTCACTAAGATGCCTAGGCTAGGCTGGAATTGGGGGTCCTCCTGTCTCAGCCTCCTAGAGTGCTGGAATTACAGCCTTGCACCACCACACTCCACTTTCTTGCCTATCTTTTGCTTTTGTTTTTACCATGGAAATCTACCCCTTCCTTAACTGGGGGTACAAAACTTCAAACACCCTTCAAAAGACTGAATTCTAGGAACCAGGTGCTGTGGCGCACTCTCGTAATCCCACGACTCAGGAGGCAGAGGCCAGAGGATCACTATGAGTTCAAGGCCAGCCTGGGCTCCATACTGAGGTTCAAGGCCAGCCTTAAGACCTTGTCTCAAACCAAACCAAACCAAAAACTAAAAGAGAGCATTCTAAACTAGTTTAGTTTGATGATTTGCTATACCCTGTGAAGTTTTAACCATATGAAGGAGAATGTTTGCACAGCAAGTTAAGAGGCAGTATTTTCAGCTCAACAATGGACCTAGTGAGTCAATCCCAATGTTCTCTTTTCTGAAATAAACTGCTAATCCCTTCCTCCTCCTTCACTCCCTCCCACCCTTCCTTCCTTCCTTCCCTTTGCACTACTGGAGATTGAATCCAGGGCCTCTGTATTGAGCTACATCCCCAGTCCTTTTTTTATTTTGAGACAGGTCTTGCTAGGTCTACCCATCAAGTTACCCAGGCTCTGCTTGAACCTGGGATCCTCCTGCTTCAGCCTCCCACAGCCCTGGCATTATAAGAGTGTGCCACTATGCCTGACTATTCCAGTGGATTTATCATGATATGCAGTCATAAAATTTAGATCTACTTAAAATTTATTCTTGGTGCTGGTTCTGGTGGTATGCCTATAGTCCCAGCTTCTTGGGAGGCTGAGGCAGGAGGATCACATGAACCCAGAAGTTTGAGAGTTTAAGGCCAGTTTTGGTAACACAGGCAAGATCCCATCTCAAAAACAGTTCATTCTTTTCATTAGTTAATCTTCATTTTCAGTTCAGTGAGTATATTTATTCTTTTTGTTATCCAAATAATATATTTTTATTTAAAGAAACTACACTTTTCAAATTCTCAGTGCAAAGACACACATTGTTTTCCAGGGTTTTTTGTTTGGTTGGTTGGTTTTTGGTACCAGGGATCGAACTCAGGACCTTGTGCTTGTGAGGCAGGCAGTGGAACCACTGAGCTAAATCCCTGGCCCTATTTATTATCATCACTATTATTATTTTGCAATGCTGGGAATGGAACCTAGGGCCTCTCCTATGCTAGGCAAGTGCTCTGGCACCAGCCCAATTTGCTAGTTCTGACTTGATCAATTATATTTAAAAGCATTTCAAAACACAGGAAAACAAATCAGGACATGCTCAACTGGAGAATCTCATTACAAGATAATGTCATTAGTGACAAACACTTAAAAGACACCTTTTGGCATCAGATAATAAAGATCACTCACTCTCACCTGCCAAGTCTGATTAGTTCTAGAGTTTAATATATTATCTGGAAAAGAACTGGAGCCAACCCCTGTGGACAGTTCTGGGGAAAAGGTGAGGGCATTCCAACACCTGTCTCCTGAAAATAATCTTTAAAATATGAACCAACTATTTAAATCCACAGAAATCGGTCTTTGGTAGGCATTGAATAGATTACAATAAATTTATGCAAACTTATTGTTTAGAGGACAGAACCCCTGGAATGTCTGCGGGGCCACGCTAGTGGAGCTTAAAAGAAAGGTCTGCCCAGCAGGGCACGGCGGTGACTGCCACTAATCCCAGGCTCTGGGGGGCAGAGCAGGGGGACCTCAAGTTCCAGCCTAGCCTGGGCAACACAGTGACTTCACAGGACCCTGTCTCAAAAGATGAAAAGGGCTGGGCATGTGCAAATGCCCTGAGTTCAATCTCCAGTACCAAAAACCAAACAACTACTGATTTTGAAAAACGTAAGATACTCCAACTAGACTATATTTTCCTAAAATTAAAGGCATTTATATTTCTATTTACTGTTGATAAATAATGTCATTTCTCAGAAACTCCAAGGGCCAGGGAAACAAACAGAAGAATCTGGGCAACATAAGTGACCACTGACTTTTGTTGGCTAGATCTTTATTCGGACAACACGTGTTCATTTATTCAGCAGATATTTGCTGAGCACCTGCTTCTCGTCAGTCAAGATGCCAGGTGCTGTGAACATAATGGTGAACAAAAATAGATATGTTCTCTGCCATTAGGAAGCTTACAGGTTACCAGCAAGAAGGCAGTACTCATACACCCACAAATACAAATGTAAAAATACAGCTGGGCGTGGCGGCGCATGCCTCAAATCCCAGCACTTTACGAGTCTGAGGCAGGAGGATCACAACAAGTTCAGCCTGGGCAATTTAGTGACTTAGTACTAAAACCCCACCTCAAAAAGTTATTAGAGGGCTGGGGATTTAGCTCAGTGGTTCCACCGCCTGCCTCCCAAGCACAAGAACCTGAGTTCGATCCCCAGTACCAAAAAAAAAAAAATTATTAGAGAGAGACAGAGGAATTGATTGATTTAACTCAGTTCAAAGGTCTTGGATTCAATCCCCAGAAGCCCCCCCAACACAAAACATGAAAAAAGCCCCACCCACCACCAAAACAAGATGAATGCAAAAGCGCCAGTATAAGTGCAAGTAGTACACGCTGCTGTGCAGAGAGGTTCCTGATACAGGGGATATGATCAGGGTAGGGAAAGTTTTCTGAGAATGCAGTAACTGAAATCTAAAGGTCATTATTGAAGCTGGGCGTGGTGGCTCACGCCTGGAATCCCAGCACTTGGAAGGCAGAGGCAGGAGGACTTTGGAGTTCAAAGCCATCCTGAGCTACACAGCAAGACCCTGTCTCAAAAAAAAAAAAAAAAAAAGATTGGGATGGGGATTTAGCTCAGTGGCACTGCGCCTGCCTGGCAAGCTCAAGGTCCTCAGTTCAATTCCCAGTACAAAAAAAAAGTCATTATTTAGGCCAGTGATTCTCACTGTGGGTGATGGGTTTATTTCCAATGCAACATTTGGCAAATGTTTGGAATCTTTTTTTTTTTTTTTGTACCGGGATCGAACTTGGGACCTTGTAATTTCGAGGCAGGCGGCAGAACCACTGAGCTAAATCCCCAGCCCAAATGTCTAGAATCTTTATTTTCCCTGGCATTGGAGATTGAACCCAGGGCTTCATGCATCCTAGGGATGCGCTCTCTTCCTCATGCCGAGGTCAAGGCCAATTCCTGAGCTAAGCCTCCAACCCTGGTTTTCTTTAAATTTTTTTTTTCTTCAGTGCTGGGGATCAAACCCAGGACCTTGTGCAAGTTAGGTAAGCACTCTACCACCAAGCACAACTCTAGGGCCTTTGTACTATGTTACATACCAAGCCCTTTTTTGAGACAAGGTTTTCTTAAATCCCCAGGCTAGGCTTGAATTTATAATATCCCTGCCTCAGCCTCTAAGACTGGTGGGAATACAGGCATATGCCACCATACCAGGCTAGTTTAGCCTTCTAAAAATGGTCTAATTTTTCTTTAGTGAAGTAACTGATTATTTTGGTAACATTCTGACACCTTATCATGCCTTACTTAATAAAACACTAAAATTTTGTGTAAGATTTATATTAAATGCAACTGTGTATGTGCCATCCCATTTTGGCCCAAACTCAATAGCGTTTTATTTATTTATTTATTTATTTGGTACTGGGGATCGAACTCGGGTCCTTGCGCTTGCGAGGCAGGCGACGGAACCACTGGGCTAAATCCCCGGCCCCTCATAGCATTTTATTAAAGCACTCTTAAACTATAATGACATACATATGTCTTTTATACAGAGAAATTTTTATTCCTTTGGAGAGGCTACAGACTCAAACCTAAAAATATTTTTAAATCGAGAATTATGTGACTTGATGTTTGCCTAGCATGTACAAGGCCTTGCGCTCAATTCCTTGCACAGGAAAAAATAATTATATGACTTGATATTTGGTTTACAATGAAACAAGGACAAGTGAACACCATTCTTCCCTTTTATAGGATAAGAATTCTTCAATTTCACAAGGCGAAAGATTTTTGTTTCTCAAACAAATAAAGAGCTATCTCAAAAATTCTCTCCCAAATCAGTCTACACATTTACTCCACTCCAATACCCATGGCAACAGCGACAACATATGTCATAGTGGACCATAAAGAGTCACTTACCCAATGAAAGCCACCATCTGCTCCACGATGTGCTTGCTGAATGTTATAATAACAAAGATTTTCTATAAAGAAAACACAGTTAAGAGAAATAACCGTCAGTAAATGAAACAGCGCTGGGGATTTAGCTCAGTGGCACCGCAACTGCCTTGCAAGCACAAGGTCCTGAGTTTGATCCCCAGTACCAAATAAATAAATAAAACAGCATAAATTCACAATTCTGACAGTAAACTAAAAAAGGTGAATTTCTGCCTCTAACTATAGTCTTAACATTTCTTTTAAAGAAAAAGACACTATTTAAATACTACCTAGTTTGTGCTTTATTTTCAGTTGTTTTTATTTTTAAAATTTTTATATTGGTACATGCTTACAGTACATAATGACTACATTCCTCATGTGTTTTAAAAGATGCTTTTCCTTAGGCACAGCTGTGGTCTTCCTAAGATACAGGACTTTGTCTGAGGGAAAATATGAGTCATGAAACCCTAGACTGGGAGGGAATACTGGACATTCACTTGTTCTGTGTGTCCAGGAATCCTGCGTTCCCATGGAGCCCCCATCACGGAAATCAAAATCAATTACTCCAACAAGAGCGGTCTGGTTAAATTTAATCTAGAGGATGTTGAAAAGACTATCTTTCATGGAAGATGTTTACAGCCTTAAGGTTTTTATATGTAGCTTGGGTTTTCAGGTTTAGGGTTAAAGGGCCCTTATTAGACCTGGGATATTTTCAATTTGATGTCAATGAAGTACTCTCTATTCATTAAAGACACTGATACCTTTTTTTTTTTATTTAATTTTTTTAGTTTTTATTTTTGGTACTGGGGATCAAACTCGGGACCTTGCAGCACTTGTGAAGCAGGCGGAGGCACCACTGAGCTAAATCCCCGGCCCCAAGACATTGACATCTTATTAAAACAAGAAAAGATACCTTTAGGGTTAACACGTGCAAATATTCTCAGCTCAGCTCAACAAATGTTAACATAAAGTACTTACTATGGATAATATATTTAGATAAATACAAAGCTATAAATACCAGTAGGGATAAACAAAACAAAACAACAAAACCAAAAGCCCAACAATAATATGTCATAGAAGTTCTGAAAAAAGAAAGGGCATATTAATTATATAATTAATTAAGGATTCAAAAGGCGGTATTTAACTTCAGCTTTCAGTAATGGATAATAATGCTCTGACTGAATATCAGTAATTCTAGATAATCTCCAAATCTGTGATAAACTCTTTAGTGTTTTGTTATTCTTTGTTAAATGCTTAATTCAGCTCATGTAACCAAAGGGGAAGGAAAGGAAAGCCAGTAAATAACAATAACAATAGTGCCCTTTGTATCCACCCATTACAGACCCGAGGAAAGCACACTGTTTTAGACAGAAGACTAATAAGGCAATGTGACACAAATAGTGTATGACTATTATGAAGCTAAAAAGACAATGACTACAGAGAATTTAGCAAGGAAAATTTTAATGAAAGAGGAGTCTATAGTCAAAGCTAGGTATCTGGAGATAGAAATTGTTTACTAAGGCAAAGAACCCATGGCTTTGACTTTCACGGATCCCATCACCACGAACCCTCCCAACACTATTTACTAACATGCAAAACAAGCCAGTGTCCAAACCACTGCACAGTTTCACTACTTAAAAAGCAAAACAAGATTTTCTTTTTATATGTAACAGCTTCAAAATTCACTGTGCTGGGCAAGGCATAAAATGTATCAGACATTTAAGAACATTATGTCTCAGAGTCTTTTACGTTGGAGGTCTGAGTGGGAATTCGACCAACAAACAAAAGGCACAGACACCAAACAATCCTCTCATGTGCGCAGAGAAGACAAGGGAAAGGGGAGAGCAGGAAGAAAAAGATACGGGCAGAGGTAACTAAGGGTGCTGCAACGACACAGGCGTCACCTGTTAAAGAAGGGTCCTTCAGAACGGGTGTGATAGTGCGGCCCCTGGAATCCCAGTCAGCGGGGAGGCCCAGGCAGGAGGATCGCAAGTTTGAGTCCAGCTTGTGAATCTTACTGAGACCTTGTCTCAAAATAAAAAGGGCTGGACATGCCACTCAATGGCAGAGCACTTGCTTAGATGTTCGAGGCCTTGGGCTCAATCTCAAGTATGGAAAGAAAGAAAGGGTCCTTCATTGGAAAGAAGAATCTTAGGCAGATTCAGTTATTAAATATTTAATGAGTGCCTAGTATACACCAGATGCTATTTTAAACAAACATTTCCTTCTCCCTGGAGCTTTTTCTTGAGATGTAGTTCTGGCTGGTCTTGAACTTACTATGTAGCCTGAGGCTGGACTCAAACTCACAGCAATTCTGACTCAGCTTCTGGAGTGTTGGGATTACAGGCATGTGCCACCACTCCCAGAAAATACTAAACTTTCCCCCCCCACTGGTTGGGGAATGAAAGGTCATTCAAATGGTAGGCAAGTGCCTTACCACTGAGATACACTGCCAGGAATACTGAACAATAAGCCAAAGACCTGAGTTCAAATTCCAGCTGTTACTCTTAGGCAGCTACTACTTATTAACTACTCTAAGTGTGACAATTACAAAATGTATCCGAGGAGGATTACAGTAAGCACTTGAAAGTCTAAAGTATTACGTAAAAAATTAAGAATTATTATAACTTTAAAAAATCTACTTAGAATGTTTTAAGAAATATTAGTGGTAGCAGCTTTTTAAAAATTCTGAGACAGGCAGGGTCTTGCTAAATTGTCGTGTTGCCCAGGCTGGGCTCAAACTTGTGATCCTCCTGCCTCAGCCTCCTCGGGTGCTGGGATCACAGGTATGCGCCACCACGTCCAGCCAAAATCCTAGTTCTGAGTTGTTCTGAAATATGAAAGGTCTGATATAATCTGCACATCTGTCACTACAGACGGGATACTTACTGCATAATTTTACAATAATTTATGGAAAGTTACTAAATGCAAGTACAAAATGGAGGTATAGGAAAATTTAGACTACTATAAAATTATATAAAAAGAATTAAAATAATCTTATTGTTTCTTAGGGATTAAAGACTCCAAAAAGCTAAATGATAGCACTCCTCTTCCCAAGAAAGAACTAAAAAGAAAAAACCATCTTCAGATACACTGCAAAATAATTTCTTATTCAATATAGTATTTTACTATTTAAAAACTCTATGATGGCATTTAAAACTTTTAAGCAAGTACCATGGCACTATTAAAAATCTTGTGTTCATTAAACACTTTTAAAGTAGTTAATGTACGTGGGAAGACTATTTCTTGAAGGAGGAAAAGCATATCTTTGAAATTTTGAGTGGTTATGATGGCAAGAGAATAGAAGACAGGATCAATAAACTCTTCCCAAATGCCATAATCTAAGATTAGAAACTGGGGAGGTAGAAACAGCTGAAGTTTTTTCTAGATGTACAGAGGTACCTGGAAGAAGAAGATCTACCTGGGGTAGAGATTTGTTTTTTGGTGCTGGGCCTCACATATGCTAAGCGCACACTTAACTATATCCTTAGCTAGAGAGATCTTTCTATTCTTTTCTTCTTTTTCTTTTCTTTTTCTTTCTTTTCTTTCTTTCTTTCTTCCTTCCTTTCTTTTTCCTTCCTTCCTTCCTTCCTTCCTTCCTTCCTTCCTTTCTTCTCCCTTCCCTCCCCTTCCCCCTCTCTCGGTACTGCTAGGCAGGTGCTGTGCTGCTGGGCTACATACTCGATCAATCTATTGATCTATTTTTTTAATTAAAAAAATTTTTTTTGGTACTGGGAATTGAACTCTGGGCCTTGTGCTTGCCAGGCAGGTGCTGTGCCGCTAAGCTACATCCCCGGCCCTGTATTTTTAGTTATTATAGAATCATATAAGGGCAGAGGCATTACTTCACTGTTTTTGCTTTTCTTTTCGTAAATATCTCCTTTGCTGTAAGCTATACTGATTTAAAACATTCTTTCCAGGTTAATTTTTATTTTATTCTAGTGAGACTTGACCTAGAAGGAAAGAAGTCATATCACAGTTTAGAAGCACATGTCCATTTCCCCCTCATTTAAGTTCTCAGGCTCTTATGCTTTCATACTTGCGTGTACATGTGCGTGTCCTAAAACTTTTGCTAAGAACAGCTTTGAAGACTAGCAGATTCTCACTTCTCTTCCCTCAACCCACATTTCCTTGCCTCTCCAGTGACCCCTTTCTCCCCCGTCCTCTCGTACAGTAACATCTGGCTGGCTTTTGGTAAAGGATATCAGTGCTAAGAGAGGAAGTGGTATACAGAGTGTGTTCGAGAAAATAAGAAGCAGTGAAAGGCTATATTCTCTCAGGTTGTGGTCAGGAAAGAAACTAGATTTTTTGGATGGTGCATATTTAAATGATGTGCTCTTTGCTACACAGGAACGCTATTTTTGTTTGATGAAAGTCTTGGAAAAATAGTTTCAGAGAGAAAAAAAAAGAGGAGGAGAGAAGAAAGAAAACAAAGGGATTCAATAACTTCCAAATGACATTTTTTGCATACTTTATTATCTAAGTAAGTTACCAACCAAAGAAGCAGAACCAGCAACTTAATTTGCTTAGGAACAAGCCAATGAGCGTGGGGGGTATAATTACCTGGATATGCATTTTAATTATTGCTTTTCCAATCAGGGTTGCACCAAAGAAGGTCCAAAAAGGTACAAGAAAATGTCCACATGTTATTCCAGCAAGATCAAATAGAGGATTTGGAATCTATTGCAAAATAGAGGGAAAAAAAGACTTCATATATAATCCAAAGAACAATTTTTCATATATATTCCAAAGAACAATTTTACCACCCATTTGCATTCCACTGTGAGCCTGCTTACACCGCAAAACAAGGTATGGGTTCCTAGGTCAGTGTGGCGCCCTGTTCAGAAGGTAGGCAAGTATGCGCCGTGTCTCTGAGATGCCTCCTGTTCACCTCAGGCTGTTCTTCAATACGTTCAGAGCGGGGTCCGGGGATTTAGCTCAGTGGTTTCGCTGCCTACTGCACAAGCGCAAGGACCCCAGTTTGATCCCCGGTAGCAAAACAACAACAACAACAACAAAAAACAATACGTTCACAGCTTGCCCTGTATGTTTTCATCATGAGGTGAGGATAAAGCCCATGGATGTGCAGGAATTTAATCGCATTTAGTGGATACTTGGCCATTTGGTGGCTATCTTCTGTGGGGAGGTATGAGATTATTTCAGTGGTCAGCAGGGTTTGAAAATCTTGAGCCTAAAATGTGTGCCTTTTTTTCTTTCTTTCTTTTTCCGATACCAGGGATCGAACTCAGAACCTCATGCTTACAAGGCAGGTGTGGTCCCACTGAGCTAAATCCCCAGCCCTTGAGCCTAAAATATGAATTATTATCTAGAAGTGTTCACGTCTTTAGCAAGCATTCCAAATACATGTATAGGTAAATGTGTTTTTACTCTTGACATTAAAAAACTCATTATATTTTATTCTAAAAGAGCTCAAGGTTGTGGGACCATGTGATATATTTTAGAAGGAAAATCAAGTGTGGAAAGATGAGAGCACACAGATTACAAGTGTGTTTTGAATACGCAGTCCCAGACAGAGAAGTGATTCACGATAAATACCTTTCTCAAATATTCCCATGTTTTAAGAATGCTAAAAGACAATTTCATGTAAAAATGAAAAGAAACCACAAGCTGGTTTTAAGCACTTCATCTATTTTTCTCCCACAGAAGTACTCTGCCCTTGTGGCTGCTGGCTGAACCATTTATAAGCCAATTAATTTCTGTAATTACATTTTTGAATTCTGAAAGAAGAGCCTAGTTGTTTAAAAAGTATTTGTCATATATGGTCTCTTAAAAGCAATTCCATAACTAAATCAGAATTCAATATTCTTTTGTAATACTTGGATTCAATACCTCATTTTTGTTTTTCTTGTCTAAATTCGAATGCTTTATGCAATTTCATCTCTTACAACCTTGTTGAAGTATGTACAGCATTACATCTGCTATGTCTAACATTTTCTCATGTAACCCTCACAGCTCCATGAGTTATAACTTCTCCTTTTTATTCTTTTTTTTTTTTTGGTACTGGGGATCAAACTCAAGTCCTTGCACTTGCACAGCAGGCGACGAAACCACTGAGCTAAATCCCCAGCCCTTCCCTTTTATTCTTAAACTCCAATTTATGTTGAAACAAATGAATTTAAAGTACACAACATATGTAAAATCAAAACAGATAAAAATTAGAATTTGTTAACCTGTTGGAGATCTCATTCTATGTTGTATATTCTCAAGAAGAACATAACTAATGAATTTGTTATTAGATATGCATGTGATTTTTTTTTCAAGTGCTAACTAAATAAACGGAAAGGAAGAGTAACATAAAAAGAACCATGAAGTTATTTTGAAATTTCTCAACTAGCAACTAGGAGTTTTACCTTAGCTTAAATGATGACAATAGCTAATTATATAAACTCCTGCCAGGGATTTAGGTCAGCTCAGTGATTCCACCACCTGCCTTGCAAGCACAAGCTTCCAAGTTCTATCCCCAGTATCAAAAAACCCCACAAAAAACAAAACTCCTTTTAACCTTAAGTCAAGTCTGTAGAAATACTATATAAGTATTAAAGATGGTCTAGAAAAAAAACCCTGGAGGGCCAAATTGATCTTCATATGTCAAATAATGACCATACATAACCAAATAAAAGAGGAGTGGCTAGTACATATAGGAGGTGGATTTCTAGCAGTTAGGATACAGACATACTTGAATGCTAAAGAAGAATTATTTTCTGCTTCAAAAAACCAAAGGTCCACAACCAGGCCTGGTGGTGCACACCTATAATCCCAACACTCAGGAGGCTGAGACAGGAAGATTGCCTTGAGTTCAGGGCCAGCCTGAACTACAGAGCAAGACCCTGTCTCAAAAACACAAACACCCAAAGGTCCTTGCCTTCTCCTTAGGAAAGATGAGAGCTATCTTTTATTAAGTGCTCAGACTTGTTCGGTACTATTGGAGGGGCTTTGTATCACTAACCACTATAATACTCTATGATGCCATGATGCCCATCTTACAGGTAGGTGAAAGTGCTGAGGCAGGTTAAGCAATCTGTCCCGGGTCACTGGCACCAGGGCAAGTTTGAACCAAGCAATGTGGCTCCCAATTTGTTCTCCTGGTCTCTAAGTGCAGGTCATTATGATCCAAGAGGGATCTCAGTCTAATCTCATTTTGGGGACTCTGTAGTACTTTCACAAATCTCTGCATTTTAAGAGTCTCTCTCACTACACTACAGAATTTTTTAGGACAGAAAATGAACCTTTTCCTTCTTTTCTTTCTTTCTCAGTGCTAGAGATTGAATCACATGCTAGGTGACAGCCCTAGCACTGAACTATTTTCCTAGCTCAGCTTTTATTTCTTTACTCCCAGAATATCACAACAAAAAACAGTTCGGCATTTATGCGCAAGGCACTGCATTAACTATTTCACATATACTTTCTTAAATCTTCATATCAACCTTTGTAATGAGTGTTTTATTGCTCCATTTATAAAAATTAGAAATTGGAACCAGGTGTGGGGGCATATATCAATAATCTCAGCACTTTAGGAGACCGAGGCAGGAGGACTGCAAATTCAAGACTTAGCAATTTAGTGAGACTGTATCTCAAAACAAAAATAAATTTCTTTTATTTAATTATTATTATTATTTTTGGAGGTACTAGGGGTTGAACTCAGGACCTTGTGCTTGCAAGGCAGGTGTGGTGCCACTGAGCTAAATCCCCGGCTCTAATTAATTAATTTTTGAGACAGGGTCTTGCTATGTAGCTCAGGCTGGCCTTGCACTCACTATGTCACCCAGGCTGATTCCAATCTCACAGCGATCATTCTGCCTCAGCCTCTCAAGTGCTGGGATTACAGGTGTATCCTACCATACCTGGTTCATGTTCTAATATGTGGTAAAGTAGCTATAAGTCAGCAGAAAATAACTGTGAATTTATAATCACAGCTTAAATAAACCAGCTTCCAGTTACACTGGCTAAATCCATCACTGAACTACCAACAACTACATACAGGCTACAAAGAAAATTCTCATCAGTGTTTCATCTTAGCGACAGCTCCTTCAGCAGGATAAACACCAACTTACAAAGGAATGTCAATTTCACGAGTCTGAGATTTAAGACCATTAAGATATTAAGTTTTAGACAAAAAATAGCTTTTCAGTTTGCTATAGCCAAAGATACCCTTAACTTTGGCACAGATATTTCCACTGCCTATCCAGGAGTTAAGATCCTTCCATAGGTTTATACGAATTCATCCCCTTTCTTCTTTTTTCTTTTTCAGTACTGGAGTATTGAACCCAGAGCCTTCACATTGAGCTATACATTTTTTCTTTTTTTTGGTACTGGGGATTGAACTTGGGTCCTTGAGCTTGCAGGGCAGGCGGCGGAACCACTGAGCTAGATCCCCGGCCCCTGAGCTATATATTTAAAAAAAAAATTTTAAGACAGATGTTTGTTAAATTGCACAGGCTAAGCTTGAACTTGTGATCCTCCTGCATCAGCCTTAGGAGTGCTGGGATTAGGGGGGTGCGATACCACACCCAGCTCATGAATTTCCCCTGTAACAAATACTTGAAATTTTGGAAAAAGATTTCCTATCTACAACTTTGTGGAAAGAATGAGGTCATTAATATGTGGGTAAATGTACTTAATTCTAAATTCTTCATAGGAAGAATGGATTTTGTCTCTTTTGTTCTTACTGAATCAAGTCTTTGAGGTCTGAAGTCATCACTTTGTGATGAAGGACTTAAAAGTCAGTAAACAAGTTTCTGAACCTAATGAACAGAGGATGGCTCATTTAATGAATAAGACCGATTCAGAAAATTTATACCCAACAAATGTTAGCATTTTTGTTCATTCGGCAATATCTCTTTAAAAACGAATTGATCAAAATATGACCCCACCATTTACTGAAATTTCTCATTTTTTAATACAATCCACTTACAGAAGCACAGGCCAATATTCCAAAAAATCCAACCTTCTGTACGAGTCTCTGAACTGCCAGTTTAGCTCGAGAGGGAAAGTCCTGTAGAAAGGAGGATTTTAAAACATTAACGAAAAGAACGTGGAAGAGGAAAGATGCCTCTATAGTTTGTTAAATAGCTTATGATCTGATGGCATCGATTCATCTAAAGAATAAGATGAATGATTAACAACCATAGCAGGCTGTCACTGAGAAGCATGCAAGTATATTTTTCATACAATATCACATTTTTAAAGTCTTAACACATTTAAGAATAAACCAAAACACTATCACTCAATTTTTAGGATTCTTTCTATATTTTCTAGGGCTGAACAAAATATTGCAAATCAGCCACAAACTAACTCATTCTGTTGGAAAAACTGCCCTAGCACATCTTTTTCTTTTTCCTTCTGCAATGTGTCAGACTTAATCCCCAGTTAACATCAGGGTCAGAACTGAGGATATTTCAAGACAGTCAATAAAAACACCTTTATTGATCGAGAGTCAGAAGAGGGAAAAAACAGTTACATGGCAAGAGTTGACCATACACCACCCAAAAATCAAAATAGTACTGCACTGTACAAATTTTTTTTTCATATTTTATTATATTTGAGGTTTTCAACAATCCTGAGGTATGGGTAAAGCGGACAGGATTATACCCAATGTATAGATCACAAAACTAAGTACTCAAGATATAATGTTATTGATTGATTGATTGATTGATTTTTGTACCTGGGATCAAACTTGGGACCTTCCGCTTGCGAGGCAGGCGGGGTCAAGAGAAAACGATAGGGCATGATTCAATTTTCAGACTGTGAAATCAAGGCTTTTTAATTTCACTATGACACTTCTTTCCACGATGAAACATGCATCAAGCTGGCTAGTTTCTTTCCATGATTTTTCTTCTTCCAGCATAGTGCTGGTGTAAATAAATAAGTAAATAAATTGCCATATGTGTGTGTGTGTGTGTGTGTGTGTGTGTATGGGATGCTGTGTAGTACAGGCTGACCTCGAACTCATGATGTTTCTGGCTCAGGCTCTTGAGTGCTGTGATTTCAGGGGTGTAGCCACCACACCTGGCCAGAAATTCAATCTTAAGACTAATTCTTTTCTGGTCTTAAATAGAATATATCCTAATGTAAATTCCAACAAAAATAGTTCATGCTATAAAAATAACTAGCTAATTTATAAATGCTCCTTTTAAAGTCTTCACTTCATAGACTTCTCTCTTTAGTCCAAAAATCTTACAGGAAGGTGAGGAAGTACCCTTCATAGAATTAGGAAAAATGTTTAAAGCTAGTAACTCAAAGTGTTTAAAAAATAAATATGCTTCTCTAATTCACACAGAAGTAGTGTATTCTCACTTAAAAACATTATGATAGATAATATTATGTAGAATAGCCCTATCATGTCACCAAAATAGCCAATTCAATACACAAGGGCCAGGGATTTAGCTCAATGGTTCCTCCACCTGCCTCAAAAGCGCAAGGTCCCGAGTTCGATCCCCAGTACAAAAAACCAAAAGAAAACAAAAAACAAAAAAACCCTTCTCCTACCTACTGTACATAGTGAGAAAAATCAAGGAATTAAGTGAATATACTATATAGCTGCTATTGCCAGTCATTATAAATACTTTCATGTGAAAACACAGGGCTCTCAGTTACTCAATAGCTAAATCCTACAACAAAGTATTGCAAATTAACAATTTATTTCCAAAGAGAGGAAAAATAACTTCTCTTGGGGATTAGGTTTACAGTTTCAGTAAGCAGGTTACATCTAATTTACCTGTTTTAGTTCTTTGTGATACTGGGGATTGAACCCAAGGTTCTCACACTGTGCTACACCCCCACCCTTTTTATTTTTTATTTTGAGGCAGGTGTTTGCCACCTCACCCGGGGCAGATTTCATATTAAACAACTGAACCACTGAGCAAAGAGCATTTTCTATTTTGAATTACGATTTCCAACTCAAGATTAAAGTCCTCTTTAATTGGTGGTAGGGGTTTAACCAGGGCTTGGTGCTTGCTATGGAAGTCCTCTACCACTAAGCTACAAAAGCAGCTTGATAATGTATTTTTTCAATAAATACATTTTCCAAATTAGATACTTAGGGGAATAGTTTTCTCTTACAGCAAGTTTCCAAAAACTTTTAATCTCTGACACACAGAAATCACACATATTTAGGCAGGTTAGGGACATTTCCATACAAGTATTCAGTGTGTGGTGATGGAGCAGGGTTTCTGCCCTATCCACCACTCAATTTACCATTCATTTCTTTCTCAAGTGCATGTCTGTAATACAGAAGTGATATTCATTCTGGGGAAATGCTCACTTTGAATCCCTCAGTCCTCCTCCCCCCGATCCCTTCACCATCCCCAGGAGTCTACCTTCTGGTTTCCTACCATTTCTCCTTTATTTTGTTTTTCTACTTCTAGTTTAGGATTCTCATGTAAGAGAAAACACTTGACATTTAACTTCCTGAGCCAAGGTTACTTTGCATAGCATGATGGTTTTGAGTGTCATCCATTTTCCTGCAAATGACATCATTTCTTTGCGTTTGTAAGATTCAAAACCTTTTTCTCACTTTTTTTTTTTTTGGTACTGGGAATGCACATGTGAGGTAGGTGGCAGAACCAGTGAGCTACATCCCTGGCCCCAAATCTTTTCTACTAGCGATTTTGGAATACTCACCATTGTATACTATTTACCTTAATGTACTATTGAACTGTGGAAGTTATTCTCTCCACCCAAATGCAACCCTGTACTGTTAACTATCTTCCTCCACACCTCCCTCCCTCACAGCCTTCCCAGGCTCTGGTGACCACTGTTCTTTATGACATCAACTTTTTTCTTTTGAGAGGGTTTCACTATGTAGCCCAGGCTGGCCTGGAATCTTGGAGATCCTCCCACCTCAGCCTCCCCAGTGCTGGGATTACAGGCATGTGCTGCTATGCCCAGTGGATAACAACTGTTAGCCTCCACACATAGAGAAGATCACTGACTATTTATCTTTCCATGCCTGACTTATTTTACTTAACATAATGTCCAGTTTCAACCATGTTGCTGGAAGTGACAGAATCTCATTCTTTTTTCACAAATAATATTCCATTAGGTATATGCACCAAAATTTCTTTTTCCATCCGTCGGTAGACAGCCAGGTTGATTCCAATGTTACAGCATTTATATGGTCCCTAATGTATAAAATTGCAGAAAAAGTTTTTCTACATTAAATGATGTAGACAAGATAAGTAACAGTCAAAAAGTAGGTCCTTTTTTTTTTTTTTTAAAGGTACTGGGGACTGAACCCGGGGTCTTGCAGATGGCACACAACTGCTCTGCCACTGAGTTACACCCCCAGCCCTTTAAATATTTTTAAATTTTTGATCCTCTTGCCTCAGCCTCCTGAGTAACTGGGATTACAGGACGGTACCCCTGCCCTTGGTTTCTTGTTTTCTTTTGCTTAATTTCAAGGCTTTAAAATCTTACACTGTTTTGTTTTGTTTTGTTTTTTGGTACCAGGGATCGATAAAATCTTATACTTTTTGTTTTGTTTTTTGAGACAAGGTCTTGCTATGCAGTTCAGGCTGGCCTCTTAACTCTGAACTCCCAGCCTCCCAAATGCTGGGATTACAGGTGTGCACCATCATACCCTGCACAAAATCTTACACTTAAATCAAGTGACTGATAGTGCCACCATTTCACAATGATGGCATTTTCAATTAGATGTATGCACACACATACTAATTTAAACTGGAAAAGAGGTATAATTATACAAATAGTTTATATAAAGACAAAATGATTAAACATGATGCAGATGACCTAGTATACTAACAATGGTCTAACATATCTTTTTTCTCCTTGCTTCTACAAAAAAAAAAGCAAGATTACAGAAACTGAGGGAAACAGGTTTCTGTTTTTCAAGGCAAGGTCTCACAATTCTCCTGCTTTAGCTTCCAGAGCACCTGGGATTACAGATATTGCTGCACCTCCCCTATAAGAAACATGCTTATAAAAATAAAATCCTGAAAAAGAAGTCAATTCAATACTGGGATAATTCTTAATAAAGGAGAATAATAATAAGGAATCATTTTTCCCCTTTGGGGTAGCGTCTCTTAAGAGCAATTCAGCTTGAACAAAGGGAAATAGTCTTTCTTCCTTCAGTTCCTTCTGTCAGCCTTAAGGGCTTGGGTCATCTTCCTTCAACTTTGTGCAGAGCTAACCTAGCCAAACAGGTACAGCAGAAGTCTCCTTTACTGTTAAAAGTGGTTTTGAAGCCGGCATGTATTACAAGGGAAACAAGCCAAGTGCCTTCTACAAGAGGAGTTGTGTTTTTCATCGGTGAATGTCCACTAGGAAGAACGGATTCCATAAATGTCACTCTGTAATTAACACACAGTGACCATGCTACTTTCAGTTCCTGTAATTTTTTCTAGATCTCTCACTATTTTCAGGATTAATATTACAATTAAATATCAAATAGTCTATATTAATTAAAATTAAACATAAAATCTGCACAGTTTTTTTCATTATAAGAAATAAACAGTAGCTGAATATGCATTTTGATGGAGTACTTTCTTGATTCTTTTCACTTTCCAGTGTCATGAAGATAACTCTGGGGAAGCACTGTATTAGTATTTATACCAAATCAAACATATTTTACAATGGTGAAGTAACTCATTTATATTTTCTTGTTTTTTATTTTAAATTCATTTTAAAGTCATATAAGTAAAACTTCTTGATGCAGTCTCAAGGCTTCATTTAAAATTTTTTAGGTTGTCCTAAGATTGAACCTCTGGCCTTCATGGACTCCACCACTCAAACACCCAGGCTACCGAATTTTATCAAGACTATTCTCTCGTTGTCCAAAATATTTTACATGTTAAATGTAATTTCATTTTCTTTCCTACCTTGTAGTTTTTGTTGTTGTTTGTTTGTTTTTAGAGGCACGATCTCACTATGCAGTTCAGGCTGTCTGAATTCACTATGTAGCCCAGGCTGGCCTCAAACTCAAACATGCAGCGATCCTCCTGCCTCAGCTTTCCAAGTACTGGGATTATAGGCATG